CTTCATCACTTGACCTTTACCATGGAAATAAGGAATTGAAACAAAGGAATTTAAATCAAATTTCGGGTGGCCCTAAAAAGGGCCTTTACTCGTTCTCTTAACAGTTCCGAATTTCATGAACAGAGGCGTTGCTATGATTCCGTTATAGCGCCGCATATGGGATAGAGAATTCCATAGGCAAGTGGTGATGGGTCGTAAGCACAAAATAAATGAAACATTGCTTCGCATGGACAAAAAATTCAGGCACTTCCATCGGCAGTTTCATGTGGTGGTTGCGCAACATTACAAATATCACAAAGTCTGTTGTCATACGCGTTTTCGTCGTTGTCGTCGTCTCGTCCAGTGAACTCCTCTGAGTTAATCGAAACAATTTCTTCCTCGTCATTGCTTAACGTTGCATCCATATCAACGTTATTCTGATGGTTGGTAACTCACAAAAGATGAAGGAATGACAGTGAGTGTTCACGGAAGTCCTTTATGAAAAATTATAATAACACTAATCAAATTACCTCATTCGTCTACTCGTCTGTGAGGAACCGCTAGGTGTTCTAAGACCATTTCTCCAACATACGAATTTAATATACGGCTTCCGATCTCTAAGGAAAGGAGAATCTCTCACCACATAATGGCAGTACGTAGCTCTTTCATAAGTTCTAACGGCGCTCTTCAAGTGATTGAGACGCTACGAGATACAATGTGCTCAAGAATAGGTTATCGGTTTCTGTGACAACGTGGGAAACGACAGAGCTCGTGCTTTGTACCTTACTACCGCGTGTAATTGGAAGAAAATATGCTCTGTCGTCAGGTCCTGACATTTTATATCGAGTTTAAGAAATAAACGACCAATTATAACGAACTCAAAACTAGCTATTTGATTGGACGGAACAGAATGAAAATTATTGGAAGATGGGGATGAAAAATTTTCACTCGAAAGAAAAATAAAAATGTGGCCGTGCATTTAATGTTAACCTTTAACTGAAACCAAATTATAAGTACTATATTTTGGAAAGTATTACAGGCTTGGTTCTTGACATCATCAATTACCGGGACCATTCTGGTCTTATTACTGCTGTAATTCAGTATGTGGTGGAAAATAAATCCACTTGATCCGTTCTAGTGGACACACCCTATCTGAGGGCGATTAACCATGCATCCGTACCAGGTCAAGAGTTGGTAAACCATACTACTCATACCAGCCGTAGATGTAAATATGTTAATAACGTTTTAGTTATCATTCAACACCATCCTAATGTTTGGCTTTTGCATGAAGTACTTTAACGTGAAGCTACTTTAGAGAGAAACATACTTTGCTGATTTTTTTGACCCATTATATGGGTGTCTTGTGGTGAACGAACACTCACGTACGGAGAACCAATAAGTTGTGATACGCAATACCACAGTGCCATTGTAAAGTATGAAAATCATACATTTGATACATCTTTTACACATCGTTAACGGGTTGTTCATTACGTTCTCTAAATTTTTCTGACCCTGTTGTTATCCGATATTTCCCTGCTTCTGTTATTCTCCTGGTGATTTCAGTCATCTACTGGTTCTCATCCCACATGTAACTCCTGCTACATACATCCTAAGTTTGCTCATATACGTAGCGCACACCAGTCTCATATTCCTTTCTCTTGCACCAATTTCAGCTACCATCGCTAGATCCTCTACGTTTTTCTGATTGTCAGCTTGAATACTCCTAGTCAATGGCTTGTTTTCTATTGTGTATTTGGCCTAGCCCTTTATCTAGTTTTGTCTAGTTGTTGTTGATTACTGTCTTCTTATCCTTTCTTTCTTGAATCTTGACCAACGTGATGACATAAATTTATTCGTCAAGATAGTGTTTCTTGAGGTCCAATGTCTAATGACATGTTGAAGTTATTGCTTCTTTAGTACCCTTCTGGAAACGCTGCGACTTAGTTTCTCCATCGTTTCATGGATCTTGTAAGTCTCAAAATGCATTTTTGCCATTTGCTATCTTGAACTTCTTGAGTTTGTCAGTATTTTGTAGAATGGCTTTGTTAAAATCCAATTATGTTGTTTGTTCAGAGTTTGTAGAATATCTATATCACCCTGAACATAAGCAGGTGTTTATATGAAACGATATCAGCTCCGCTGCTTATTATCAAGTCTTCTATAGACCTTATGAACATATTTTTGATGCAAATGTTATCTGTACTGGATCGGAATGGCATGACCAACCCGCTTATGTCGTAATCAAAATTAATGGTAGGTATCTAATGTAGATTACCCTTTCACCAAACCCAGGTACTACGGCTACATTGATGACTGTACAACATAAACGAAGTTACAACAGATGTTAGTAGGAGTGGGTATGTAAAAGGCAGAGATTGTCGCTGGTTTGTCGATCTGAGTCAGTCATTGGTAACCCTGATAGCTAGCAATTCACTATGCGATGTTCAATCTTTTGACATAAATATATTTTCAGCTCGACCTATACGCTTACTTAAATGGTTCGGATTTTTCTGGTTAGCGTTTTTTAGCGAGTTGCTTTTCTATGGGATGGGGCCTCTAACCCCATGCCCAAGCCTCTTGCTTTATCCGGGTTTGGGACCAGCAATAGCCACAGAGGGGCTCAAGGCGGAGTTAAACATTTGTATCTGCATGTCTATCTCAGTGGACCATTGCTCTTGGTACATATTCAATATTATTTAAACTCAAGTCCCGATCAAACTAACTGATTATCGCTCATTCAGTATGTTAATAGGTAAATTTGATTATTTCCAAGAACATCGTTAGTAATCGAAAATGATGACACTTTATGATGAAATAGTTGTTTAACGAGCATAGTTCTCGACAATTATCCAGTCGTCAAGCTAGGACGACGCCCATATATATATATATATATATATATATATATATATATACTCATTGCAAACGAAAAATTCCCAAAATATATACACATGTACATAACTGATATTGATTGTTACTTAGTTTTAGTAAACATTACCTACTCAAGGCCTTCAGTAAAGTATCTTTTCCACATTCTGGTACATCATATGTCATACACTTCCACTACACTGGATTAGTAGTTTTGGGTCTATCTGTCTCTGTATATAGTTGAATACACTGTTCTTTCTAACCTTTGTAGTCTTTTATAAGCTGTGGTCAGAATCAAACAGCACATTTAAAGTAAAATAGCATCCATGAAATACAACGCCCATCAGCATAAATATAAGACAGAAAATAGATAAATTTGACAGCCATGTGACTAGTAACTTTACTCAACGTTACCCAAGTAAAATATTTCTGACATTATATAACTAATCAGGAGATTTATATACAGTTAGAAACAATACGTTTGCTTTAAAAAAAGAATAATGTAACTGGATGAAAGTGAAATTCATAAATAGTACTTGTAATACATTTGATATTGAGAAAAAGTACATTAACTGAGGAATAGGAAAGGCACTAACCAATTGGAACTGTTTATAAGTGCATTTTTTATATCTTGCTAAACAACAATGAAAGTCGTCTTTTATTCACTCAATCACTTATAAAATTAATTTTAATTAGCATAATGTGGAATAATCAACAAACGTATGCATATAATACAGATAGTAGGTGTTTATTACAACTAAATAATTTATATAACTGAATTTAAAAAAAAACAAATCGCACAGGTATTGGTGACACTTACTACCAAGAGAAATTATTAGAATATTTTTCTAGATACGCGTGTTGTTGAAGATAAAACAAAGGTCATTTCACAACATAATTATATGAACGGAGAATATTGTTTTCAATAATTTCTCATCAGCTTCTACAATTATAAATCCAAATTAATAATCCATAAAATTGGTCAGATTTAAGACAGAGTACATCATTTAAAATCGTAATATGTGAATCAAGAATTGTTGTTTGTCACATAAAATCAAATCGTTAATGTTGACTTGAATCAGTTTATAAGTGAAATGAAATTGTGAGAAAAGTGATCAGAATAAATATGGTTAACATGGAGTGGGAGAATAATAATAATGTAATTACAAATCAGAAATTGCGCTATATATTGAATAATATGAATTAGGTTAAATATAATAGATAGGGGTGGATGTTGAATAAATTTCCCAAAAAGATTAGCAAGTGTAGTAATAGTAATGACAATGGTAAGATGTGTGGATAAGTTTTATGGATTATTAACTTGGATTTATAATTGTAGAACCTGGTCAAAAATTATTCTTCATCCATATAATTGTGTTTTAATATGAGAATTTTTCAGCAATCAAAAGGTCATTTCATTGAAATGACAGTGAAATGCTAACTATTGAAAATAAAATATTCCTTCACCATAAACCACCAAGTATTTGAAATCTCCTTACTGACTAAAATAAAGAATTAGCTGACCACATACCACCAGAAAATATAATGCAATCGTATGAATAAATTGGTATGGTATAAAAACAATTTTGCAGACATCCACCGACCAAGTTGTAAGAGAATGCTGAATAAATTCAATAACTGTCACCACATAAGAAACAGAATTCCCAGAATGATTGAGTAGTAGAAATAAAACATAATTGCTAGGTAAAGAATTTGAGAAATGGTGAAAAGACACAAGAAGCCAGTGTAATTAAGAATAAGAAATACCATGAAGCCAGGATAGATACAAAATTAACGTGAAGTTCACTACATATTGGTATCCAACCAAATTAATTAAGATTGTCCCAGTTATATAGCTGGGCTGAAATAAATGACTAACTACCGTTATTATATGTTATCCATGCAACCTGTAGATAACGCGATAACAATGTATAAAGTAATTTCAGAAGTGGTTACTGTTTTGAATAATGAGATAGGAAACGCAAAAATGTTTTAAATACATTTGGTCACAGTACTCTGTTTATGGAAATAAAACATCTTATTTCTCCTATTCCTTTCATTCCACTATAAATACATCTGTGTTTCGAAAACAAGACATTCAAAATTATCTTTCTAACCAACTGATTGCGCACTATAGATGCTCTGTCAGAGCTACTTAACATTGTGACACAATCCACATTGGTTTAACAACTCTTGAGTTTGATAAAACCTGTATCACTTTCTTGACACATAAATAAGATTTCTGAATCTCATTGATAATAAGATCTTAGTGGCCTACCACTCAGTAAACTACTTTGTTTTCTTAATATTCCCAACTCAGTCAGATATTAATTGTTCAGTAAAAATAACTTAAATCTAGTTACTGGTTCAATAACCTTTGCTGATATTTAAACAGTTAACTCTACTTGTTAAACTGTTTCCACAATTAAGTTGTTTCTTTCGTTGTTATTGCTACATCTCATATATTGACAAATTTATGAAAAGTTAATATGTATGCGACAATTACACCCAAGGCTAAACTGAAAGTCTACGCTTTTGCAAACCCCCATCTTTAGTATAGATGAAATTAAATTAATAATAAAAGTAACGATTTTTTCATATCCGTTCTTGCATTAAGTTAATATGATATTCCCTTATTGTAATGTATTTCTTGTATGACAACATTAACATCAGTGTTATGAGGTAAGAAATTAACAAATAGTTGGCTTGAGTAAAGTACCTAGTGGAAATGGCTATTGGGGGTGGGAAAATACACAGTAATAACGAGATTACACTCATCAAACTGGAATAAAAGTCGCACAGAAAGACGTATCAAGACTTCAAATACCACAGGGACTCAGCGGTCTGAAAATAGTGTTTACTTTGCTTTAAACGATTCAGTTTTTACAATAAAACGAGGCACACAGTTGCTGGCCAATTTATATCAATTGTCGATAAAATTTCAATTATTTTTATATATCTTAATTGTTAATTAAGATTATGAAGTGATTCGCTTATGAGTTTCAATATTTGACTTTTATGATAAACTGTTTGTGAAAGCGATTACAACTAATTGGACATATAAACCGTAGTAGACGAGTGGAGTCCAAACTTAGAGCTCAATGGTTAGTTAGTGAATCACCACTATTAAAAATATCAACAATAGTGAGAAAGCAATACAATTTGTTTTATTGAAATGAAATAAATTGAAAGAGAAAAAATAGTCTTACGACACAATCCTAAAAGATACACACACACATCATACAGAATGAAAAAATGTAGTATAAAATAAGGTAAATAAATAGGAGAGAATAGTTAGCAAATAAATGAAGCGAAATTCTCAAGACAAGAAATTAACCGTTTAAACCATAAGAAAATAAAAACACAAGACACAAAAGATACGTATTACGAAAGTATAAATGGAAAGCTGATGCACTTTCACATCCTCTCCAGAGAGTAAAAGCTAGGTGACTAAAAAACGACAACAGAGACAACATCAATTAAGATAGTATTATTAGGGATTTAATGTTTCAAGTGTAATGTCCAACAAAAAATCGAACTCCTTTTCGATCATCATAGAGAAAAAGGGAATACAATCAACATAATATTTGTATTATAAAGACAGGCCCACGAAAACGATACAGGCCTTAACCATTGAGAACTTACGAACATTAATAAATAAATATACTAAAGAATAAAATACAGGAAAAAAGGAATAGAACATAAGGCAAGAAAAAGCCGAGACAATTCAGCCTATAACAATACACATAGCCGCTTGTATATATTGCATGGGATTACTGAGTAAGCCCCGGTATTATTTCCTCTACAGAACACATGTTTTTAAGGAATACAGAACTAACGAATTATGGAACATAAACCAACAGATGAAGAGAATGCATATATATATATATATATATATATGCTTATCAAATAAGTTACTTCAAGGCAAATTCATCAGCTGTAAAATGTAGTGAATGAAGTTATTTGAACAGCTTGTCTCATACAGATAGATGTACTCAAAGTTTACTGCGTTTGCAGTCAGGTTCATCTAAACTACCCGGTCCGAGCACTCCAGCTCCTCCTCCACCCATCCAAGTGTCATGATCAGGTGGACAGGACATTTGAGGGACAGGTCTTTGAAGGCTCATAGAATCATCGTATTCATAGCCGGGATGACCATAACCAACAGAATGCTAATAAAGAGAAAAACAAAAGTAATGAGACATGAGTAAAATATAAATCACCATGTAAAAAAGAAATTAAGATTTAACTAATTTTAAGTGAATAATTGGGTTTAAAACGTCCAACTCATTTATTGAACGAAATGTATAAACACTAATTTTAAAATTGAGAAGCTACAACATTCAGGCTGCTTACGATTAGAAAATCTGTCCTACACTTAAGATATTATAAAACAGATTATCAACAACTAAACACATACTCACTATATCTTCATGCAAAATGCTTTGAAATCAACAGTATGTTATACTAACAAATTATTCTAGGTTCGAAACAGTCATATCTAGGTTTTCGTGTAAAAATCCATGAAGCATCTAATGCCTACTGAGTAATTTAAAGAGGTATTGGACTTGATGAGAATGAGTTTTTGTGTGGCTATGAAAGAGGAATCATACTGTATCAATGAAAAAAAGCGAGATGTACACTAGTTCTTACGGACATTTTGTTGGCCATGTGAGGAAATAAGGACTATATCTCCTGGAGTCCCTTTGTAATTAACAACCAGGTAAATTTTATGATTAATGAAATGATGGCCACCTTTTGGCATACATTCTTTTGTACAGACGTGAGTGCAGTCGTCAAAATCACGGTCCATTAATGTACATACAAGTAAAACTCTAAGGTTTCGTGTAAAAACTATTGATGGTGATATGGATGATTCACAAGAAAAATAATGTGCCCCTATATGGACGATTTCCTCTATGTAATATTTTCCAGTTAAAAAAATGACACCAGTCTTGAAGAATTTATAAATAACCCAAAAACCTTGTTATCATTTCAGTCCCATAATTTTCGAAACAATGGCTTCATAACTTAAACCATCAGTTCACTCACTGACTAAAAAAGTGGGATAAAGATATCATAGCTATTTTGAAAGTCCCTTAACTTTGGAAGCATTGTATGGTGACACATAGCTTCGAAGTGAAAATCCCATACAGATTTGTTCCAAATTTCTAAATAGGAAAGTAAGAACTGAAAGCAACGAATTATTATGAAAATATTAAAAAATAAATGCTAACTTCATCAGATGATGTTGGACCACCAGTTCCAGATGCCACAGATCCTGCGGCAGCAGCTGCCGCGGCTGTTGCTGCAGCATACATATTTGCTTCCTCTTGAGCCTTTACAATGTTCTTCTTGTACCGAATACGTTTGTTTCCAAACCAATTAGAGACCTGTGGAATGATAAACAGTTCAATGGTTAATTGGATTCATAACTGTTATTTTAACAAACAGATTTTTATACCAGATCAGTTTTTGTTATAATTATCATCAAAATGACGATTGAAATAGGGAAATTCAAGTATGACATATCATATTAAACAAGTCGGAAAAGCAAAAGCAAATTGAACTAACAAATGATAATTTTAGAGTTCTAATGATGCTTTATTTACTTATTTGAACACATAAATATTGGTACAAGGGGGCACCAAATATATATGCGCCACACAATGATGCTACTAATAATATAAATAAAAAGATGAGTAATAGGTTAACCTACACCAGTGCGAACACAACTTTAACAGATAGATCAAAATTTTAAATAACTTGTTCAAATTCATTTCATAGAATTGACGGTGATTAAGTACCAAGATGTAATTAACGAAAGCTATAATTCATAAATTGTGTTAATTTGAAAAATGCAAAACTTATCAAACCTTAACATAACTATTATTTACCGACTAGTCATATTAAGCGAAAATGTGGTAACAATGAAAATGAGCCAATAACTGAATCGAATTTAGTTATGACCATTTAGACAAGTGAATTTAGAAGTATTAAGAACATGATTACGAACACTTTTGACTACAACTGTCCCATAAAAGAGGAAGAGGACAACAATCCGTAGTTCCTACATATATACAACTTAAATAAACTCAATCAATGAGAATAGCACGTCTAAGTATTTAACGAGAGTAAAACAGTCAGTCAATGTTCACTTTCCTGTTCTATCGATTTACACTGGATACAGTCATTAAAAAAACGCATCTTAGTGGCTAAACGGCTAATCAATCCCTGGAACCACATCTAAACATCTGAAATGTGCATGTCCCAAGCAAAATGTACACACTTGTTTTAGAGGTCAAAGTTACAGGTTTGTGCTGATAACAAAACCTTACGTTTACGAAACAAAACCAGACGATAAACGTTAGTTAAATACAGTGACAATTGACTTCACTTTCTACCTTGAAAGATGAAGTCTGATGAAAAATATGAAGAATGTTTGAAGTGTAGATGTATTGTATAGTAAAACTTTGTGTGAAGATTAGTGATACTACATAGCTGTCTAAACCAAAATGGGTCGAATGGGATTCGAATCTGAGACCGATTGAGTGAAAATCACTTGGTTTTCCAACCACAAAGCCATAGTTCAAAAGTATGAACTACAAGTTTTTCTTAATAATGTTATTTCAGAACAGATTTGGGATATGTAGGAATGACTTTATAAAAGCTATCATGTCAACAGACATTTTAAGTATTACCGATAAGAATTAAAACTAAATGAGTGGATACAGCAATACGAAAATTCGAGTCATGAAGAATGTAAGCAGTTCGTTTTTATCATTTTGTGATAATCAAGTAGATTCAAACGTCATAATTATAACAAATGTAAACGTCATCAACACTGACTAGCAAAAACGCTAAAATTCATTAAGTTTCGGAAAAATACTATCTTCAGACTTTGAATCCTGGGACGTACTGAGTCATTTACACATAAACATCACGTAGCAAGTCACTTCTCAAATAATGAACAAGGATATCAATAACTTATGGCATTAAGAAGGTAATTACGAAACAGGTCCCCATTAGGATATGTTATGTTACTGAACTTAAATGGTAGTTTCATTTTAGTTGTTGCGAAAGAAATGGAATATTCATCACTTGGTAATTTGTTAAATATCACTTTTATATACCTGAAACAATTATGAGTAAATCTGAACTTCAGTGACAACAGAATACAAATATCAATATATATATATACGATTTTGTCTGCCAAAACATATTATAATGAAAACTGTAAGAATTAAATGTGCGAATTATTTTCAGAAAACTGACTTGTGAAACAGTTATCCCACATTTTTTGGCTAATTCTTCTTTCGCTTCTTCTGAAGGATATGGATTAGCCAAATGAGAGTAAAAATATTCATTCAATACTTCAGTAGCTTCTTTACTGAAATTTCGACGTTTGCGTCTAAAAGGGAAGAATATTCAACAAAATAATGAGTTTTGTAGTCACATCACTGTAATAGTCATCGATTAAACAACAAAGAAAATATAAGACTGAAACAAGTAGTTGTTTAATTGAAATGGAAGATTTCTATGTTGTTTCTGAAGCATGATTGAATGCTAATTAAAATTGCAGTACGTGTTTAAAATGTTTTGGTCTCAAAGCTTCAGTGAACCACAGAGCAATGAAAATCCTCGATACGATAGATTCTTAAACGAAATTTGGTATAATTCGGAACAACAGTGATTTATTGATACTGCTTTGATACCTTTAAACTATCTTTCATAATAAATTAGTCTACAAAACAGTCTCATATTTGATATTCAAAAAGTCTTAGTGACCCCTCCAGGATTTGACAGGCGCATATACATTATCTAAATTCCTACAATTTACTAACCGTAAGAAAGTACTATAAATTGCTCATTTTTTTCTACAATAGAGAGAGAGAGTGAACAAGGTAAATCACTCAAAATTGTTGAGTAGTCTTGATTGGGATAATAAATGAAATACCCTAATAACGGTAAGCCACCCAAGTTTTTTTTATTTTCTTATAACTTACCAAACACGTGTTTATGTACCTGTCTTTGAGCTAAAATATTTATGTGAACGTTTATTGACGTTAACCGGTTGTAGAAGCCGAAGTAGATGGTGAAGGATTCGAATAAGTAACCTAATAATTGAAAGTCAATTACCTTAGTCAGTATATTATCGCTCTGCAATCCAGAAGCCTTTAAGAGAACACAACTAGGCGCAGAAACGTCTAATAAAGTCCTTCACTCAATAACTCCTGACACAAAGAAAAGGAAATAAGTGGTCTAATTTGAACACCAACTATCGGAAACTAATTCCTCTGAAGAGCGGAACATCAATCAAAATTACTTTATGACGAAACCAGATGCTAAGACTAACTGAACCAATAGATAAAGATACCAAAAAACCATGAATTTCTAAACAGACTACTCTTTCACTATTTCATTTCATACAATCTAATGAGTCCCATCTTTTCATCGCACTAGCCCAAAAGTTTAACTATTGATGCGTAGTATTTTAAGTTTCCAGTACAATAAACGCTTATTTAAAGGGAACTATGAACCACATCTAATAACACTTACGTACGCCTGCTACCCCCTCGTGAAGCATAAGCCACCTACCAGGATTTTCAATAGAAATAACAAAAGTTATGAACGCCCAAAACTAATTTTTTTAACATTCATTAAAAACATATTAGATCCTATTATTCATCCGTGAACTTACCTAGCGTCCAAAAATCGAGATCGCAATATCATAACTGCTTCACAAGTACTTTGTTTCAACTGTGTTTCAATTGCTCGAAACTTCCTTCGAATTATACCAACCATAAGTTCAATTTCTGCTGGGCTTATAGGTCGACTACGACTCTGCTCACGCAATAAATTTATAACATGTCCTGTGAATTCATCACACGCCTAACAGCAAAAATAACAACGAAATGGAAAAGACTAAACAAAAAACTTAAGTTTTATGCAAAGCAGAATACATTATAAAATTATTAGGGAGAATGAATTGTGTCTATTGTCTAATGATTTATTAATGCATCCTTAGTATTGCAAAGTTTTGAATAACTGATTTTATTGTAAATCATATTCAATCCAAAGTTACAAATGAATAAAACAGCATGACTCAAAGTGGAAAAATTGAGTTCACATTACGTATAGGTCGTTTCATTTAAAAATAAAAATATGGAAACAATTCACCAAGTTATTGTTATTTCGCTAGACAAGATTAAAATTCATTTCAAGCTTATCAGGTTTGTACAGAAAATAAGACATATTTACACTTATCTAATTAAATGGAGTGGAGTGTTAAGGTAGAATCTTATGTCTAGGTTTAAGATGAGCTCTTTAATTATTGTATTTTTCTAGTCCTGTTTTATATGTATGGTCTGCTGACCAGAAGAACCACGTTGAGGATAGTTCGAGGAAAAATCGATAGTGCTTACAGTCAGTACTTAGTGACACATCAGAAAAAGCCTCACTTATGTTTAATACGACTATTTATCAGAAAATGGTACAAATGTGAGGGAAGCCTTGTATACTAAACATAATTATTTTTAGTTGATCACTAGTTTACGCAGGATAAATTAGAATGCAATTGATAATCTTATGAAGATAGCAGTACTGAAAAAACTTACATTTTTATATTTCTCCAATTCTGCATGATATATCTGGCGAATTTGAGACAATTTGGCGCGATAATCAGCATGTTCAATTTGATTACAATCACCGGGTCCCCCACCCAAGTCTCCAGGACCGTCACTTAGATCATTATTCAGACTACCGCCAGGTCCGGTTACACCTTCAGCGACTAACATTTTATCCAAGCGTAAAAGCTGCGGATCTGGTGAATTAGCTTCATCTTCTACAGCAGAAACAGCTGAGTTTCTCAAACTTAGAGCTAGACATCATTGCGAGATGTAAACAATACAAAAAGATTGTGACATTAAAACTATAAGCTGCTACTTTTGTCTACTATGTAAAGCAATATATTAAGAGATTTTGTTCAAAAAAGATTTAACTTAGTTCGTTTTAATCCTATATCTGATGAGTATAGTATTTTCCTAGAGTGACAAAATAGTGCAAACTTAAGAAATGATGTTTAATTAGTTGGTCATTTAACATACAATGCTGGTATATCGTATAACATGACTTCCTGTTTGATTTGTATAGTTTATCAATACTCGATGACCAGTGGTCATAATATTCTTTATTTCGAAAGTGTTTGATATTCAGCTAACGATAAATACTACATAGTAATTCGATACTGAAATTGCATGTGTCTGCTCGAAAATCTATTCGCACTTTCCATTACTGTTATATCCCGTCGAGAATTATGAACGGTAACTCTTGAGAACTATTTATGGACCAATACGATACATATATTTTTGTTGTATAATTATTAGGCAGCTAAACTATGAATATGCATATTCCTCTTATTAAAAGCCTTATTTTGACCCATAGACTATCATTATACGATTCTTGAGTTATGCCCAGCCTATTAATTACAGTCTTCAACATTCACAGCCACTTTTGGCTAGATCTTGTACAAATGTTATTTTCTATTATATGGTACGAGGTGGTCTGTTTGGTTTGTATACAAACCTAGTATGTTTGAGATATATAATTCATATTGCAGATGCTGAGATTGGTGTTCTGGATGCAAAAAGCAGAAAGAAGGACCGACAAGGACTCTAAACTGCTCGTACGCATGTACGCGTTATTGGTATGGTCGATCAATCACTGTTCTCCCATTGGCGGTATCATTAGGGCACAAGGCCACAAGTTGTAACAAGTAATATTTACTGTACTAGAGTCGGATATATAGTTCTGATAAACATCATCTCAGTATATTTATGAACTTTCTCAGAAGGACTAACAGCTTTAAATATAAGAAATTTCGTCATAAACATGAAAATATATCCTGTAACTACACGATAATAACTGTGTGCAAAGCTACCTGTTTTCTCCTTGATTTCACAGAACACACTGTATAGAGCAGGCTTTAATCTGTGACTATTTAATGACTGTTTTCTATAAATCAACAAAACAAAGATGAGAAATACAAACTATCAATGAATATTACAAATGGGATAACGAGAGAACTGTGTTAAAAACAAAGAACAACATTAAGAAAATATATATTTGCAAGTCAGTGTAAAATCTTGAGTTACAAATAAACTAAATAACTACATAAAGGCTTAAATGGGTCGCCATTAAGTTTTATATTATTTTGCTATTCATGTAGAAGACAAAACAACGCTCTGATTTCAACAAGTTCATTTAAGAACCATATGCTTTATTGCGCCAACGCATTTAAAGAAAGTTACCTTTATTGTGACTCAACGTAATAACCCGATTATTCTAATGCTAGTTCCAGACAGTTGTAATGTCATCTAGTACTGATTAGCATAGACACAAATAAAGTTAAAACAAAAACGTATCCAAAGAAGCATAACTGATGTTGAGAAATGATTTCACCTACTAAAGAAAAAGTTATGTGTGTATTAATTATACAACAGTACAAATGTATATTATATTGCTGACAGATACAAACAATTTTGTTAAGTAGAAAGTGATTAAACATAGAGTTATCACATTGATTTAGTAGCCTTACGAGCATTGCACAAAACTGTACTTGTCAAGGCGTTTCACTACCAACTTTAGATAAATGCAGAGAGTATTTGCTTCGAAAATAACGTTTAGTCAAAATATGAAACAGTAGTTCAATGATTCAAGCTGTTAAAGAATCATTAAATCCACTTGTTATATCCTAACGAAAAATAAATGAATGGCAACGGCTAGGAATTGTTTATGGGCTGATATTATATGTCTATTCATATTCCTTTTATTATAGGCTTTCATTTAATCTATTATATGATTTACTATTTTTAAGTTATCTCCAATTTATTAGTTACAGTCTTTCACAATCATGGCCACTTTTTGGCTTGATCTTGTACGATTGTTATTTTTTATTTTATGGTATGATGTGGTCTGGTTTGCTAGCATATAAACCAAGTATTTCTGAAATATATGATTCGTACAATTGGAGCTGAAATTGTTGTTCTGGACTGAACAGGCAGGGCTAGATGAGAAGGACCAATAAGGACTTTAGGGTCCTCATGCCGGTCAACGCGTCATTGGTTTGGCACATTGCTAATATTGTATAAGTCATGTTCTGATTAGCAATCATATCAAGTAATAATTACCGGGCACAAGTCACAACGCCACTTAGTTCGGTTTGAACATAACTACTTCGTGAACACATCACTCTTTTTATTATGACGCTGACAAAATACAAAGTATTCTGACTACCTTAAGCAACAATGCAAACATGTTTGGAATGCGGTTCTCTCACTTCGAATGTAAAATATTATTTCAGGACTGACTTGCTTTACCACCTGAATTAATGATAGGGAATGGAGTAGTTGAGTGCGTCGATTACTTCAGCTGTCTTGGGAGTCTTATCAGTCCCGATGGGCTGGTGTCTGACGGAATCACGGCACGGATTCAAAGGCCCCTAATGGCTTTTGCCAACTTGCGCCACTTGTGGTGTAGGTGAGATATCCAACTGCCAACCAAAGGACGAGTTTACTGAGCAGTAATTCCCTCTGTCCCACTATGGGTGTGGAACATGGCCATTAAGAATAGAGGATATTCGCAGGTTACTGGTATTTGATCATGTGTCTACGAAAAATTGCTAGTGTGTTTTAAGGAAACGGAGTAAGTGATCCCTGGGTTAGGAATAGAGCACTAGGTAAAGATGGGAAACATATTAGTGAGGTAGTAAGTCTTCAAATGAGGTGGTTGGGACATGTGTTATGTATTACTTAACGTGAGGAAGTTTTTCGTAGTAGCTCAAAGTGAGTGATCTTATAACTGAAGCTGTTGCAACATTATAACTAAGAGTTAAAAAAGATTCTTGAAATGAGCTTAGATACCTTTCCTGAGCTTCATCTAAACTTTGGTGAGCAACACTAAGAAGTTGTTGAAGTTCTCTTCCTGTCAACTGTGCACGCTGCTCCGTCAAGAGTGCGCTTTCCGAATCCATACCACCAGAACTCTGATCGAATCCAGAAAGATATTCATTTGATAATAGACCATGAGGTGTAAGTTGGTGTAAAGGAGCCGCACTAACATCGAGACCAGGCTGATGCCAACTCATTGAAATACACTAAGAAAATAAAAAGCATTTAGCTTAGTTGAAAACCTTTTAACGAACTCAATAAACTTGGGATAATAAACAAAACTTGTCAATATATTTTAAAATGGTTACATATTGAAATTAAGCTTTCAAAATCCAAACAAATATAATACAGAATGAGACGGTAAAACTTCATATTAAATGCATACGTTTAAGTAGGTGACAAAACGAACCTATACTGAAAATAACGCTGAATTCAAGTAATACATTGTCACTATTTCCTTGACATGGCTCAGAATCAATCACGATGGCGTACGTGTAAACACTCTATCTTCCATTAAACTGTGAAATTAAAACTACTTTACACCTTTCTTTCTATGAACTAAATTTTTCTTCCTGTATCATATTCTTATATGCAATCTTATTTCATAAATACTACTATCATTGAAGCAACTGCTTCTACGAATTTTGTGTGCATCTTGTGCCAATGAGTTGTAGCAACTTGGGCCGATGCATATATGTGCCTGGTCCTACGTTGTAGATGACTGACTGATTTCCTTTGTTAAAAGCATTGTACACATTGGTGATGTTAAGTAACATCCCGAGTCTAGTTAAAATGAGTTTTATCCTTTTAAATAGTGTTGAAGCTTTATTAAAAACATTCCTAGAAGTTATCACTGAGTTGTAATTATCGAAGTTACAAAAGATTGAATCTTGCTTTAATTTACCACCAATGAGTTAAGATGATTCTTTAGAAGATTATCGAGCTAAATACATACTCATCGGGTACTTCTGTAAAATGATTTTGTCATAACCAACGTCAAGTACACTCACACAACGGGGTGAAGGCAGTACATAATTCAAGAAATAGATCCTATATATTTACCACCTATATTTTATAGACACGGTCTCAGATGAATTATACGTCGATTCATTAGATAATTCTCAAAGAAAACGAATTCTTTTATCTGGAGAAGTCAGTAAGTATTAATCACTTCCATACTTTCAAGAGTATTCAGGTGGAGCCTATTTAATATCAGCACTCTTTCCTTCTGCTTCGTACCAATTTTCTGTTTGTTATCAAAGATTTCACCTTAGCATCCCATATATAGAGTCAGTATTGACGAACCCAATTTCTAAGATAGAGCTTACAGTTACTTGAAACTAGCGGACAGACTAAGCCGGGAAGAAAGATACTCAAGAGTGATGACTCAAGGTTATTTAACAGTACAAGTTATGAATTTTATTTCAGAACAGATGTGAACAACTCATTTAGTTTCCGTAAAATAGACCGTTTTTACCCAAGTAATCTATCCGATTCACCGTTAATAGGTGAGCTTACATTCCAATGCCCCCAAATACCCTGGTACGGTTGAGGGTAAGGAGAGTTCGCTCTCCCTCTCAAAATGCTCTTATATGGCCACATGTATACAGCCACTCCCACAGAAGTCCTACTCGCTGCCTTCTTTCACTGGGGTATTGTTTACGAAATCGAGAGGACAAAATGCGGATGTCCGGCGGTTTAATCGGGTTGGTGGATACAGGGGGTTCACTTGAAGGAGTTGGAAAACTCTGATTTCAAACCAATGGTGCACATGGGCTCCAGTATCCTGAAGAAACAAATGGCATATGAACCGATTGCTGGTTACCGGCTACCATGGGACTGCGTCATCTAACGTTTTTCCGCTTCCTTGTGAATCAGACCTTTAGGTCGAAGGTTTCGGGTGTGGCCCCCTAAGAAAATTACCTACTCTGGTCTGAGCACTTGGGAAGTATCACAACCCATACACAAATGAAATGAAATGATAATTACCACTGGAAATACAATTATTGCTTCAATTAAAATTCAGACAATTCACATTCATTGAGATATTTCATTATTATAAAATAAACATCTAAGTTAATATTGATACACGAGCTAAGACAACTGTAAAGATTATATTCTCTTTGTATAATCTTGTTTTTCAACTTATACAGCAGACCGCCTGTGGTGCAAACCCTGTTCTATCTAAACGATCGCAAGTCACTGACTAGTCGGGAGTTGAACGCTACCATAGAATACGAATACTGAAAGTCTTTCCAAAACCACGTATAACATTCAAACTGGCTTTCTTCAACGTTCGCACAATAATGCAGATTGGACAACAGATAGGGTTGGCTATGTCTTTAGAAAGTCTTAATATCGATGTCTGTTGCCTATCCAAGACCCGTATTCAAGACTAGTGAAATACTACAAATTTAATTTATCTGTCGCTGAAAAGCTTGTCTTACGTATATTTGTCCGGGTACCCCGTCTGGTTGTGCTAGCGTTTGTGTCACACTAAGCGCTAGAGCTGAGGCAGCACTGCTCGACTGAATCTCCATTAACAGTCGGTTATGTGCTGTTAGATTAGAAAGTTCCATCAAAGTGAGAATAAATCGGCGTGATAAACGATGTCTTTTCGTCGTCTCCGCCTATGCCGCGACAGATTGCAGCCCGGATGCAATCAAGGATGAATTCTACCACCAGTTAACAGTCCTTTTCCAGATAATGCGTCCGACAGATATTGTAGTACTAACCGAAGACTTGAACGCTCAGGTCGGGCGTCTAGGCACAAGAGAGTCATTTGGGTGGTCGGTGGGGACTTATTGGTTGCAGGTCAGATAACGGTTACAGTCTACTGCAACTGTGCGCAGACCACAACCTATTTTTTGGCTAGCACTAACTACCAACACAGTTATCGTCAATATGCCACCTGGCGTCCTCCGTCTGCATCTCAAGCCTGGACTCAGATTGGTCACATTGCGATCAGCTACCGCTGGTGTGGCTGTATGCAAGACTGCTGTCCCTTTTAGACTATCTATCCTAACTTTGATCATTCCCTTGTTTACGCTAATCTTACCTTACATTTCAGTGGCCAGCAAATCCATCAACCTAAACGGATCGATATCAAATTTGTCGAAGCTTTTGTCACAACTAAATATTAAATAGAACTAGGCTCAGGGGTAACTATCATCCCACTGAAAGATATAGATGAGCATTACTTACAATCGCATGACGTCATAAATATGGAGAGAAGTCTCTGAAAGCTTCGCGAAACGTCTCACCTGATCGAGTCAAAGCTTATGGAAAAAGAGTCACCAAAGTTTTAAGGCTTGAGTGGTGTTTTTTAGGGTTGTCCATTTTCGCCGTTATACATGCACCCTTTTAGAGATAACTTTCACATTGTTTAACTCCTAAAAATTGATCTCCCAGCAGGATCCTCATTGCAAAATTCAATAAATTTCTCCTGAAAAACCTTTTAACCAGATTTGTAAGCATTTGTAGTAAGAAACTACATAAATATCCCGATATTTTCAAATTAACTAATCATGTAGTGACATGCTTATTCATTCACATAACGCAAGCCAAAAATATGCTAGTTTCATGAAAAAAGTTTGAGACAAGGACCCAAATGAAATACGATGATGTTCTAAGCTGAGTTTAAACCTAGCAAAGCGACACAAAATACCCTACCTCGAATAACAAGTCAAAAAAGCCCCTCCTGCATAGGACTTTACTTCGTTGTTGGTCATGTAGACAAACAAAGTTTGAACATGCTGAAAACGTGATTGGCAGTTATCAGGTGTTTCGCTTTTGCAAATAACTACCGATTCTATTTTACTTTTAAACTAAATTTTCGTTTTTGGGGCTTGATCAATAGTATTTAGTTTTACCGGTTTTCACTTATAAGCCTTTCACAGTTTGGGCTAATTTCAAATTTTAATAGTTGCAATTACGAGTCAGGTGAAGCTAGACCGCCATGGAAAACCTGGAAATGGTGAACGGTCTTTCGTTTAATTGTGAGGGTACTCGGCAGAGCGCACGCACGATCCAGCATTGCAAGATTCGAACCCAGGACCTATCGGTTTCGTGCGAATGCTCAACCTCTAAAACACTGAACTAGTATCCGACTGTGTTAACGTCAAACTTCAACCAACCTATGAAGTTAAGCTACATATCCGCCATTGTCTTCAGTGAGTTACTATCTGATAACAGACCCAGTGGAACTCCACTGGTCACCACTTTTTATTAGAACTCCAGGAACCACCTCTTGAAGCCAGTCGCCAGTGTTCATATGTTGATTAACATCAGAACGGGCTGCCATTTCATAAAAAAATTGGATATAGTACCCAGCAAACATGATGCAAGGGACGGTGGCGGTGGTAGTGATGTAGATAACGGAATATGAATTACCGTATAAATGCACGCAAATATTTTTCATGGATAAACATATAAACTTAATTCATTCATCAATTTTCACTCGGAAGTTTTCGTCATCTTTACTCCGATCACTCTAAATGTTTAGTACACAATTAAATAATTGATAATCTTATTCCCTCATATTATCCCCATAGTTCTCAAAATTATTTCTCAAATTTGATTATGTTTGTTTATATTCAGTCAAAGGTTGGTTGGAACTAACTGAAAAATAATCTAAAACAGTTAGTCCCTTTGATAAATTTCGATAATGCAATGAGAAGACGAAGTTTATCAGAATTATGTAATATATTAGCGCAATACATTTCGAAAAATCTTATCACACATATACTTGTTAAGAGCATTTATATATAAAAATAAAAGGTCAACTAGACAGGTTAAGGGTAAGTCATAACAAAGGAAAAAATATTAAAGTACACAAAACAAATGTGATTACCACTCTGGATAATAAATCAGTATTACCAGAGTAGGTTTAGTGTAAGGACAAATTGTTTTTGAACACATAAAGGGGGTTTTAGTTTCCGTATAGCCAAGGCTTCAATAAAACTTAGTATACGTCCTTGAAGGCTTTTGTATAACACTACAAATGCTGATTTGATGTCGACCTTATGACCCGTCTCAATCAAATGTTTCGCAATGGAGGATGATGTCCGTCTATCCTGTGATCTTATTTGACCATTGGAACATAAATATAAAGACAAAGACAATGTGCTCTTTCGACGCGAATACTTTATTTACAAATGTACCTCTCAGGAAAACTGTTGATATTTTGTGTGACTATATTTCTTTGAATAACCTTCCTCTTCCATTTCCTGTTAGCACTCTTAAAGATTTATTATTATTGTGTACAGATAATGTAAAATTCACTTTTGAAGGTGAGCACTTCCGACAAATAGATGGTGTAGCTATGGGGAGTCCTCTAGGACCATTGTTGGCTGATGTGTTTATGGGATATGTGGAAAATTTAGTTGAAAACTCAATTCAAAAGATGGGATTGTATAAACGATATGTTGATGATATAATAATCATAGGGGATAAAGGTGATGACATAAACCGCTTGTTAAAAGAATTCAATAGAAGTCAAAACCACATTTCTCTTACATGTGAAGAAGAGAAGAACAACAAACTTCCTTTTCTAGACATCTTGATCAGTAGGAGAGATGATGGTTCTATCCAAGGTGCTATATACAAAAAGCCAACATGGACAGGGCAATATCTTAATTTTCATAGTCACTGCCCTATCCATTACAAACGCGCTTTAATAAAGAACTTATTCAGTAGAATCAATCGTATCTGTACTAGTGATACTATTGAAGTCGAGACGAAGCTCCTGACTGATACGTTAGTGAATAATGGTTATCCCTTGAAGTTCATAAACCGCTGGAAGGGTTGCAATACGGTTAGGCCTATGACGCTTCTGGCACCCAAAAAGCGAGTTTATATTACGTTACCATTCAGAGGCGACACAAATAGTCTCATGTTGAAACGGAGACTTAAATTAGCCATCAACCGAACATTTTATGCAGCCCAACTTGTCATTATTGAAAAGACAAGGCACGTAAGCGATTGTGTCACATCCCATTGAGTCTATCAGTTTACATGTATGTGTGGAAACACGTACATAGGGAGGAGCAATCGTGATTTGCAATTAAGAGTGGGTGAACACATACCAAAATGGTTGCAAAAGCCAAGTGGATTCCATTGGTCAAATAAGATCACAGGATAGACGGACATCATCCTCCATTGCGAAACATTTGATTGAGACGGGTCATAAGGTCGACATCAAATCAGCATTTGTAGTGTTATACAAAAGCCTTCAAGGACGTATACTAAGTTTTATTGAAGCCTTGGCTATACGGAAACTAAAACCCCCTTTATGTGTTCAAAAACAATTTGTCCTTACACTAAACCTACTCTGGTAATACTGATTTATTATCCAGAGTGGTAATCACATTTGTTTTGTGTACTTTAATATTTTTTCCTTTGTTATGACTTACCCTTAACCTGTCTAGTTGACCTTTTATTTTTATATATAAATGCTCTTAACAAGTATATGTGTGATAAGATTTTTCGAAATGTATTGCGCTAATATATTACATAATTCTGATAAACTTCGTCTTCTCATTGCATTATCGAAATTTAAAAAATGATCGAACTTTTCGTCACTATGTTTTTCAAGTACAAAACGCATCTCTACGGACCGTTTTATACACATGATTGCGGCAGATGTTGAGCATGGCGTTTACACACGTGATCTGGTGCGGATGCATGACCGAGTGCCTTCAGCCAGATGAGTCCATTAAAACTAATGTGGTCAGCATTCAATGTTGAAAACTTACAGAGCTATTTATTTTGGGGATTTATTTACCGCTACAAGATAATATGAATTTGAAGATTTATTAACATTTCATCAAAGTACTTTACTTGCTCCTGAATAAAGTACCTATGTTGATCTCAACGATTTAGGGTACTATGATGGCTTATTAATATTTCTGCGCTTCAACGTGCATTGTCATTGCATATTTTTGTGAAGGACTCCAGTAGTTCATAACCCTGTAGACGTAATGAGACTCGTATGGTAACAACAAGCTACGTTCTAGGACTTCTTGTGAATATACTCCTTCATCATATCTCCTGAGTGGCAGAAATAAATAAAATGAGTAGCGCAGCAATCGTTGTTCGAAATACAATGGGGCTATGTTAAGTCACATCTTAGCACACGGTAAGATTGTGTGCGTAAGTTAGTGGGACTCATTATATTATCATGAGATGGGATTGACAGACCTCTCAGTCTTTTAAGCCCCATTATTTGAACGAGTCCTAGCATATTCGAATCCCTTTCGAAAGTAGGGAAGCCTACTCAAGGCCCTATAAAATTTATAAAAGGCTCCAATAGCTTCGACAAAAAAGGGAGATAGCCATTTGTGTATCATAACACTTTTGAGCACTATATTTTATAACTACATATTGTCATACTCTCAGTTTCTTTCTGAACCACCTCTATTTGTCAGTTGATTATCCACGCACACCTTGTTTACACTTATTTTCTTTAACTTATTAGGATGCTCCTGCTTGCTAAATACGTTAATAAAATAGTATCAGACTGAGTAGTCATACCTTGACTATTTCTTCATGAACATTGTCTGCCCTGCTTCTCGTCATTTTTTGTTTTCGTTTTTTTTCTTGCACCATTTTTCAGCCCCCTTGAGATACGGAACGGGTGACTTCGTCCTGCACCATCCTTAAAGCCTCAAATATTCCAGAAGGATATAAGACTGCGATTTCTAGAATCCCTCAACTGCACATGAATCTATTACCGACCATCAGTTGCACGTCGCAACGCAACTTTCATGAAGCGCGCCAACTGTGGTACTGACTCAAACCATTCTACATTCATATCTTATAAATTATCGACCCAGCTGAGTAATTTACTACAGTTGGAAATTGTATCGTTTGTAACAATTTGATCTTGCCTGTAAACTGACATGCCTCATGTAACAAAATGTTATTTGAGAATAAATTATTATTATTATTATTATTATTATTATTATTATTTGATCTGATTCCCTGATTGTATGTTCCAAAAAGGGGAGTGATTTTTGTACTGGTTGTGATTATCATTGCTTTGTGTACTAGTTGCAACATAAAGCATTCTTGGTCTACTTTAACGAAAAGTACTTTGGTTAAGATTTGAAATTTTCGCTAAACTTTGTCCTGTGGTACTTTTCTTGCTTACTCATTGACTGACACTCATGTTCACGTGATCATAGTGTGTTTTAAAAGTTTTAAATCAAATTTCAATGGTTAGTAAGACTTATAAATGTGGACAACCAAACTGCTTGTTCCCCGTTGAGGAAGAAAAGCAGTGCGGTGAATGTAAAAAGTGGTACACGTCTAAGTCCTACGGTCTACAAAAGATGTTCGAAGCCAAACTCGCATTGGCTTTGTATGTTTTGCTGTACAAGTAAAAAGTTACTAATCCAGGAGCTCAGTCATTTTTCATAAGTTAAGAGAATCTTCCGATAAGGAACCAAAGGCTAGATTTGAACAAGACTTCAGTCACATTGAGTTCTTAATAAGCAAACTACTCCCAGATACAGTTTCAGGAGTTAGCATTTATAAGCTTTATAGGATTGGACGAAAGGTGGATTCTGAAAGCCCTCAGAAAAACCGCCTCTTGAAGGTTACATCTGCCACGGTTGAATCTCTTTGGACAAAGAACCAGACCAAAATAAAGAGACAATAAACCACACATTCACCATGGTTTTCGATCAAGACGATGTGCTTAAGGCTCTTTGCACCTTAAATATGGAAAAGTCAACAGGACCAGATGAACTACACCCTAAAATATTGAGACATATGGCACAATATATCGCGGCCCCACTGACTGTGATATTCAATATGTCACTTAATCAAGGTGTGTTACCCATGGACTGGAAGGACACAATCGTCGTTCCCATACATAAAACAGGACCAAGACAAGTTCTATCGAACTACAGACCTGTAAGCCTCATCAGTGTTGCAGTTAAAATATTGGAAAGAATAGTCAAACGGACAATAATGGAATTTATCGAAACAAATAACTTGTCAAACATAGAACAACATGGTTTTAGAAATAGTCTATCCTGTACAACAAACCTCCTTTTGGCAAGGGAATTTGGGATAAAGGCGCTAGACAACAGAAACTCAGTGGATGTTGTCTACATAGACTTCAGTAAGGCTTTTGACAAGGTGCCAACAAATAGACTGCTATTGAAGTTGAAAAACCTTGGTGTTGCTGGACCTCTTTTAAAATGGATTTCCTGGTAGGTCGTAGACAGAAGGTAAGAATAAATTACAAGTGCTCCATATGGAGACCAGTACTTAGTGGAGTACCTCAAGGTTCCGTTCTAGGTCCTTTACTTTTTATACTGTATGTAAATGATCTTCCAAGTAAAGTACAGTCTCCAATGTCATTATACGCTGACGATGTAAAGATCTAGCGAGCAATAACTGGAGACACGG